TCGTTTGTCTCACTAAAACTCGAGAACGGTTGGGTCGATTTAGCTGATATTAGTTTTGAAATGTATGTCGTAGTCCAGGGAAGGTTTAAACGGTGTGAAAATATGAAAAAATTGCGAGGAAGATAGTAAAAATACAATTCCAGTTATCCATATAAATCAAATTATTGTAAGCAGTACGAAGTACGCTGGGTCAGCTAGTAAATAAATAAATATTTCCAACACTCACACCAATTAGCCTAGCTCCAAAATAAGCACTGAAAGCTTGTGTTTTGGGACACTAGAGTAACAGATAGAATATATATACTGATACATATATAACTATATTAATATAGAAAAAAAAATTAATATCCATGACCTGAGCACAAATGCTCGTATTCATCACATAAACATCTGCCCCGACCGGGGTTCGATTCCGAGACCTCTCGAGTAGGCGACACCTTGAAACCCGGCGTACAAACCACTCAACCATCAATCGGCGGAGGTCATCAATTTATTTGTCATGAAAACATTATAAAAATATCTTTGTTATATTGTAAGAATATTGGTCACGAAAAACCATTTAAGTGCAAAAACTGTGTCAAAAAGCATTGAACACGATTGAAAGTTTGCTGATTAGAATCGTCATCAAGGTTAGTGGTTATAATGGTGCGACGACACGACTGAAGTGAAACATCTTTAGCTTCATCTGTATGTATATATCTATGTGTGTACAATATATACATGTATGTACATATGCATATTTCATTTACTAGCTATAAGAGAAAGAGAGAAAGAAAATGTGTGCGCGCACTGCTTTCTCTTGCTTATATCCCTCACTCAACTCCCGTTTGACTCACCCGAAATACTTTTCGTAACGCGTAACACATTCGCCAGCTTACCCCCCAAGTCAAGCGTGCGTAAAGAAGTTTTACTACAAAAAACATATTTTCATTTTTACTGGCTACGGTGTAGATAGATATCTACGGCACTGCTACGACGTAGTAGGACAGTGTAGCAACAGTGAAGCTTATTTAAGACCAAACCTATCAAAGTTCTCCAAATAAATAAAAAGTGTGTGTGACTAATCTAAGCAGCAGGGTTAGAGTGAGATAGGAGGAGCCTGCCTACGTGTCTACCTGCGTATGCGCGAGAGGAAGGAAAGCCAGACAGACTGGCGCCGTAACGCGTTACGTAACAAAGCGGTTTACCCTCCCATAAGAAGTTATCACCTCAAAAATTGGTGTGATTTTATGAAACCACGATGCAAGTGTTTTTTTTTTTAATAAATTCATTATACCTATTGTCATGTACGAAAATGACGTTAACAATGTGAAATGTAATCCCGAGGTATCCTTAATTGTATCAGCATTGATATAATCTCTGAGTACCTACACAATACTCGTATCTATACTTATAAGCCTTAAGTAGGGACCGAGCCTACCGAGTAAGTATCCCAACAAAATTAAAGGAGAATTACCGGAGATAATTCACGAGAACCGAAACGCTCCATACAAAGACTTAGTCAATGGTCAATAGGGAAAGAGAAAAACTCTTTGCACCGCGCACTGTACGCGATAGAGCCACGAAAATCCCTCGATTAATTGGTCCTCGGGAAGCGGATCAGTACTAAATTAAACATTTTCTCTTATTTAAAACCGAAATGAAGTCCATTTGAATTCGGACCGGCAGTAATTACAGAGTTTACGACGTGCAAAAGCTCACTGTCCGCCATTTTAGCAAAATGGCCGACCTCCCGTTGGGACAGCGCGACACCGCTTGAATTAAATTGTCGATGTTTCGTACTGACGAAATTAATCAATGCATTAATTAATGGAGTTTATGCGTTGTGGCTGTTGGAGCTTTTCGTTTGTGACTGTTTGTAATATATATTAATTATAATGTTTAAAATATTTAAAATTCGACGAGTTTTGTTCGTTCGTACGTGAACGTTTTAATGTTACATTTTAGAAATATTCAAGTGTTGACATGTCAGAAGTACTATGATAAATATCAGGACATATAGTTTCTTATTATCAACGAAATACATAAATAAAAACTCAAAAAAATATTTATAGCTGAGAAGATTTCACGTCTTTTGTATCATATATAACAAGAGTACAGCAAAAAATATCATCTGTCCAAAAGCTTATAACGGGCTAAAAAGGGGTACTCAATTGTAAGCTATTGAAATAATTAGCATTCATAAATAAAACTAAGTAGAAAACAACGTAAATCATAGAAAAAATATTGTATTGTATTTTACAAAACGAATATCATAACGGCTGAAATACTGGCAGCATTGATTTAAAAATAAGAACAAAAAAAGGTTTACCAACACAAATGGTTGATAATAATAGCAGTTTGCATCCACGAATCGGAACAGAGCAATCGAGAGATAAAAAAAAAACTAATCGCCGATTACGGTCCCCGCCACTGCGGTGATTGGAAAAAATTTCCATCTCCAACTTTTTAAATTGGATTCAACTGAAGCTCGGTTTGACTCGAAAGCTCGGGAGACTCGGGAGGTAGTAGATAATGCGATCCACTCAATACTTTACTATTAAATTGCATCTTTGAGAAACGTTTACGCGAAGTACTTATACCTGGCTTTGCTAGCGTAATGGGGCACTTTTGGTTGATTTATTTTGTCAAGTATATTGTAACTGAAAAGGGTTAACCCTTATTCTATTACTAACGACCGTCCGCGACTTTGTCCGCGTTCACTTCAGTTTTTGAAAAATCTACAGGAACCTAACGTTTATCCGGAATAAAAAGTATTCTATGTCTCAATCAAGGTTTTCAGCAGTTTTAGAAACATAAAAGCACAAAACATATAAACTTTCACATATAAATATTAGAAGGATCAAACAGTGTAAAGACGTTTAAATCTAAAGAAAATTTTGCTAGAAAAAAATCCACGCAGACCGCGTCCCGTTTGCTGGGACGCGAATCCGCACCTTCGCTATCCGGGCGAATGCGAATGACTATTATGTTACCGCGGCCCTAGTAGCCGTGCCGAATTCTCTCTAGTCTTTCTTAAGCTGCAAGGCAGCGCCATCTCTTCGCATAGTAGGTAACCCACAATGTGAAATAAACACCTTTACAAGTATTAAACATTTGAAAAAAAAAATGGCAATTATAGTTGTTAAATGTTAAAATTATGTTTAAATCTAAAGAAAATTTTGTAAAAAAAAAATCAGGGTTCATGTCCCGTATGCTGCCTGGTCCGCGTGAAATTTTCTAGCAAAATTTTCTTTAGATTTAAACATCTAGCAGTTACTTGCTTCATTTTTTTTTAAATTATAACAGTGAAAAGATGTTGGCATTCTCTCCATACAAAATTAAACATCTACACGTCCGATAGGGTCTCGGTAGCATATAAGCCATTATCTTCTTCTGGTGCTTCCTCTAACAATGAAGATTCTATATATAGGAATAATAAGGTTGGCAGTCAGGTTTGTTTTCTTTTTCTTTGAAGAGATGGAAAAGTTCCGCGGCGCTTTAAGTTTTAATTCATTCTCGCAGATTGCTCAGCCAAGATTTCATGCGATCGACGCTTCGTTTTCCAGCAACTTTGCCCATCTTACTAAGTTACCTAAGAGGGCGTATCTTTCAAGCCTTATCATGTGTCGTAGGTAACTAACCTCCCTAACTCTAACGGTATACCAAAAATTGCGTTTTTTCCTATGCGTCATAAAATACAGATGGTCTGTGCATTTGTTTTTTCTAGAAAACACTCAACTCGATAAGTGAAATTTTGAAAATCATTAATAATAAATGGCCTTCTTCGGCACAGGTTGAAGGTACTAACTGGAATCTAACCAACTAATTTTGCTATCCGGCAAAAGAATTTATAAGCTACAAAAAAGTTATATCCTACCTATAACATTGAGTTCAGTGTTTTCTAGAAATAACGTTACTAGATTATATTAAAATTAGGAGTGGTGTGTGAAACTTTAAAAAATCATTATTAAAAAAGTCTGACGACTGAGATTCGAACCTGGGCCACCCGTGTTGCAGGCGAGCTTTCTACCACTGAACCACAGAAACTTGATGATTAAGTGAGATTTTTAAATAATAATCAATTTATTTCATAAAAATGTAATGAGACTTGCTAAACGTGAACGAATAAATTTGTAGCGATATATAATACAATACTTTATTAAAAACACCACAACACAGAACAGAAATGAGGAAAATTTCTATTGTAAAAAATAAGAGTGCTTCAATGGGCGGTCTTATCGTTAAAAGCGATTTCTTCCAGACAACCTTTGGATGAAGAGGATTGAAAGAAAACTGGAGTCGGCTGTGTCAGTAAAGAAACAAATGATATAAAAGAATTTATAAATTAAATATATATATACATATATATATACTATTTTTAAACACGCACCAATTAGCCTGGCCCCAAAGTAAGCACTATAAGGCGTGTGTTATGGGATACTGGGATAACGGATAGAATACATATACTGTACATATATAAGTATATTAATATAGAAATACATATTAAACATCCATGACTGGAGCACAAATGCTCGTATTCATCACACTAACATCTGCCCACACCGGGATTCGAACCCGGGACCTCTCGAGTCGGCGACACCATGAATCCCAGCGTACAAACCACTCGGCCATGGAGGTGGTCATTAAATACATATTGTATATACATAGACTACACATATAAAAGTTTAGTCCACTCAGCAGAGATAAAAATACAGCTACATCGACAAATAGTGATTTACACCAAGATTTTTAAAGAAATTAATAGATTGCACTCGTCTTATGGATACAGGAAGAGATTACCATAGACGTACAGCTTGGACGGTAAAAGAACGACCATAGGAGATCGTGTTATGGATAGGATTTTTTAGGGTTAAATTTTATGATGACTTTAGAGATAACGCATTCGAATTATGAAGGCAATTAAAGCATTCTTTGAGATGGCGCGAGGACAAAGGATTGAACAATATGTAACATGTAATAACAGTTTCACGTTAAAATGATGTTAAAGTCCAACTTACCGTGTCTCTAGGCTGTTCCTCTTCTGTAGTTTCGATGTCTACGCTCTCGTCGCTATCGCGGTCACTCTTGGTGGAGCGGGCGGGCGATGACCGCAGCGACGAGCGGAGCGGCGAGCGGGCCGGCGAGCGTAGCGGAGAGCGGAGCGGTGATCGACTCCGCCGCGGCGACGACACCGTTGGCGACGACCTGCTAATGTTGCACGAGTTTTAGGACGGTATCGTAAAAGACCTTCAGAGAACCACGCGCACTGGCTTACGTTGCCACCGACTAATTGTGGCCCTTATACCAACGCTTACAAAGAAGTTTAGTGACTCATTTCTTTGTTGCACTATCCGTAAATGGAATCTCTTCCCCCTTACGTGTTCCCTCCCTCTTACAACCTGGGATCCTTTAAAAGAGACGTGAAAAAGCATATAGGCTACATATAGCATGCATAGGCTATTGCATTATATTATAATCTGTGACGTTATTTCACTAATAAAGCTATACTATAAGGGCCTTTTCGCACTACGGTACTATTTAAACTAGATTTAAACTGTTTTTATTTTCTTCAGCATTTAACTGCTAGATGTTTAAATGTAAAGAAAAGTTTTACTAGAAAAAAAGATAGATTTAAACTAGTTTTTGACGTGGCTCTAAGACATCTAGACTAATGAAGGAAGCAATGCTAACACGAGTTCGCATTTTTACATTTATACAAAAAAACAATCTTAAATTATGAAAAGGACGCGCAGAAAATGCTATTTAGAAAAAACCGCCTTTTAAAAAAGTCGCATGCATAGGCCTTAAACATACAAGTTCCTTTCAGGAATTTGAAAAATAAAAAAAGTGTCACTGCGTAGGCAACCGGTATCTTTACAAGTATGAATCACTATGAACTTCACATTTTTTTGTTTATCCGATATATCACCTGTTAGGAGACCGCGGCGGTGACAGCGCAGGCGATAGCTGTGGGGAGTCGAGGCGGTGGGAACGCACCGGTCTGAACGCCCGCGGCTCCTCCAAAGCGCTCACTCCGCTCAACGCTGTCAGCGCACCTGAGGATAGTGGCAGTTTTATTTAAGATTTCATAATGACCAGATGGGTCACCAAAAATTAGGTGTTCTACGCAGCACTGGATTTAGAGGTGTAACGAAGGAGTGGGCGCCCCGAATCTTGCAACCGGAGCATACGATTTACATACATGATCGACATAGGCCAGGGTATGATTCATAGCAGTCAACACTTCATGTAATCGCTAACCGCTAGCGTCGCCTGCCTATATATAAAGTAGCATAAAGTATGTCTCCGTTTCACCTGGCGTCCACAGAGTGGGTTTTAGCTAAGTTATGACGTATGGTAACGGCAGCCGCGCACCCCACACGTAACCAGAAAGGCGCGTGCGCGGGCGGCTGCAGACCGCTATTGACCCTCGCCACAAGTATAAACTACTCACCTGGTGTCCAAAGGGTTGGTTTCAGCCACGGTATGGCGTACGGCAGAGGCAATCGCGCACCCCACACGTAATCAGCCAGGCGCGGTACAGGCGCGTGCGCGGGCGGGCTGACCGCCGACCGCTTGGCGTCGCCCGCCGCCTCCGTTTCTGGCCTGCGGACAGGCAACCTTCTGGAGCACAATTTTAGGCTGAACTAGCACTTCAGATTTTGCATAGTTTAGTTAGCTTAGATAACGAATCCACTCCGAACATAAGTGATCATGAATATCGAAAGATTTTTTAAAAGTATATGTATGTGGATTATCGATATTGAGTTAAGAATAATAATTTGTTTTCATGAGACTAAATACCCAAATTATTACATTTTTTTCTTAAAGACTTTATATTTTATTGATTGATAATGCTTACGATTTAGTTAAAACTTATTTATTTATGTTACGCTGTACAAAGCATACCTTAAAGCTATAAAGGGTCAAACTATCTAGTGCCAAGATAATATGTATTCCTAAATTTTTATACGAGGCGCACCAAATTACCCTACCCCACCTAATTCTATCAAGATACCAATCAAGTCCAGTTGAAACTCTTAATACTTCCAAACTTTTGAAATCTTTTGTATGTTTTGTTATTAGGTAAGTACCTTGCAGCAGACAGCATCCTCTTGCGCGTTCCACCGTTAAACATCGCTTTCACGTCTTCCCAAGCATGAATGACTTCATCCGGCGGGGTGCCGCTCAGCTTCATGTGCCTCCGCCAAGAGTTGAAGTTGGCCGCGTCGGGCTGCACGTACTTGTCGCCTGGGCCCACGCGGTGGGAATGGAATATGAACTTGTTGGGAGAGAAGAACAGGCCGCAGTAAGCGCATTTTATGCACTTCGCTCGGGAAGAGTTGTACCTACGCAGAGAAACAAGATATTTCTTTTATATTTTTTAATAGTTCATAATTTTGAATCCATTAAAGACCTTGCGTTCTATAAAAATATAGTAGAAAGTGAGTACACCTTATAAATCTAAACCTATTTTTGGAGTTTACTCCTTAAGAATCGATTTGCATATATAAGGGGCCCGGTATGAGAAAAATGTGAGGAGTAAAATCTATCGATGAATGACATTAATGACCTCGTTACGTTTTTGTGCGCCACCTCATCTGCGCACCTTTCACTTTTAGCCATGGCGACGGATAAAAAACATTAAGTTGTCACAAATGTCAATAAAATAAATAAACTAAAAATAGATAAAATCGGAGCAAAATTAATGAAAACAAATAAATAACAGAATATAGAGAAATGCCGGTAAGTATCCAGCACTCTGGAATAGTGATTTTCAGTACAGATGGAATTATAATACATATTTACAAAATGATGACTAGTGTGTGATATTTTTGAAATTATGTGTTTCCAGAAATACATAATAAAATATATGATGAATATCGCTGATGTTAGATGATAAAATGTGTGACATGGAACCTATGATAGTCGAAACCATGGGACGCTTCCTGAGGTATCTCTACTTGTAACCGACTTCTTCGGACTTGATTTTGTTTTGTGTCAGTTCAAAGACAATCGTTTTTAGAGTGTAAACTCCGGTCGTGCGTCGGAGCTGACACACACAATTTTTTTTTATTAAAGATTGTTTGGATATTATGATCCAATTTCACATAAATCTAATCTAAAAAAAAGAGTTTTTTTAGATACTATCAAAAAACAACAGATTCCTTAATTATGTGTGGTAACTGCTGAGATGGTGAGAAATGATCACTCATCATTGAGAGATATCTTCATGATGAGATGGTGGTCAGACAACGCGCAAGTGTCAATTTTGTATTGCAGCGTCTAAACTCTATAGGCTCACAAGTAGGTAAGCCATATGCTTTACCTACACGTTTTACTAAAACACCAAGTATAAGTCGCGTCTGACCGTTATTGCACAGAAGTAAAAATTAAGATGTCTTGGGGGGAAACGAGGTGCGCGGGTGGGCGTGCCTTGCGCCGATTGGCTCTCCAGTCGTACCCATGCGCAGCTATCCCCTCCGCGTTTTGTTCAGCGCTAGAGTTACGTGCCGCGATCTGTATACAAATATAATTTGTGATGTTTGTACCTAGCTGGTAGAAAAGCACCGCGGCACCCCCAAGCGCACTCGTGGTGGACGGCGAAGGCAAAGTCGTCGGGCAACCGCGGAGGTGCATTGTCGCCCAAGAAGGACTTACACAGCCTCTCAGCCTCCCGCCGGGTTATCATGCCTGCAAATTACTGAGCATTATAGTACATGTGCTCATGTAAGGAGCTCGATGGCGCGAGTGGTTAGCGCGTTCGGCTGCGATCGTTGCAGTTAAGTAAATTTCGCAGTGGTCGGTCATTGGATAGGTGTCCAAAAATCTTCGATCTAGAGTTCCTCCGTGCTTGGGAAGGTACGTTAAGCCGTTGTTCCCTGCTGCATCTGCAGTCGTTAGCACCCTCCAATCCGCACTGGGCCCGCGTGGTGGTTCATGGCTCAATCTCCCTATTCCATCCATAGGGAAAGCCTGTGCCCCAGCAGTGGGGACATTAATAAGCTGATGATGATGATGGTGACTATCACCACGTTAAGCCGTTGTTCCCTGCTGCATCTGCAGTCGTTAGCACCCTCCAATCCGCACTGGGCCCGCGTGGTGGTTCATGGCTCAATCTCCCTATTCCATCCATAGGGAAAGCCTGTGCCCCAGCAGTGGGGACATTAATAAGCTGATGATGATGATGGTGACTATCACCACGTTAAGCCGTTGTTCCCTGCTGCATCTGCAGTCGTTAGCACCCTCCAATCCGCACTGGGCCCGCGTGGTGGTTCATGGCTCAATCTCCCTATTCCATCCATAGGGAAAGCCTGTGCCCCAGCAGTGGGGACATTAATAAGCTGATGATGATGATGGTGATAGTACATATTGCATTATATTAAAAATATGAAATAGATATATAACCGCCGCGAAGAAACAGAAAGTCACCTCAAAATAACGCACACATTGACATAACGTTTTGCACGCAGTTTCAAACAAGGGCCCAAGAATGAATTTTGACAGCTCCGTAATCGTATCGTGTCGTCAAAGTTTCTATGAAAACTAAGCAGCGCCCTGTCGGACGTAAAATTAAACTAGCTTTTTCCGCCCAAAAATTGACAAGGACGATACTTTATGGAGCTGTCAAAAGTTCGTTGAGGCCCAAGAATTAATTCGCAATTAGCGGCAAGTGTTTTCTCAAATTCAAGATTTATTGAAGTAATAATTTCGAGAATGGCCGATGATGGAATTTCTGTTTTGTGTTCGAACTTATTGGAAGTATACTCTCTATTGTATTACAGCGTTTCTTTTCTGGGCTATCAGGATTTCAAAGGTTCGAGTATGTATGATGTACTAACCACACCTCCTGGAAGACACCGGCATTGCCCCTGCTCGCCTAAGAATCTCCAGTTGCACAGGGGTGCACTGTACGCATGTGATGCCCAGCGCCACCCGTCTGTTGTGTATTTCGTTATATGAGAACTGCTTCAGTAACGTATTGGAGATCTGAGCGAGACACAATCTCTCAACTCCTTCTATTATGAGCGACACTATGGGAACCCCATATAGCAGCACTGTTCCAACCTGGAAAAGGTTAAATATTTAGCGGAGATGCATATAATAAAATCTAAGTAAAATATAGAAAGGTACAATATAAAACACCATAATTTTTTAAGGACATACTAGATAAAAATTTATATGTACACACGTTTTTTCAAAATACATATCTTATTTAACAGCGTTATTATTAGCGGAATAATAAATAGATATTGAAAATAAGGAGAATCTAATGACAAATTCAAACTATACAATATTGAGCGTTTCCAATGCAATATAAACGCGCTCGGTTATGGAAACAGCCAGAAACATGATATACCTATTGTTTCAATACTTAGGCCCGTATTACAGAATGACAACTAAGTCTTAATCTTTACTTGAGTACAGTTAGAAAGGGATGCCGCTATGTGCTTTATATAGCGACATCCCGTTCTAACTATGCTGAAGACTAGATCAATCATTGAGAATCATTCTATAATACGGGCCTTAAACATTCGTTATTAGTCTTAAACTTAGTTAGTTACAAAGTAAACCGTGATTAAACTATTTAACAGTTTAATGTTTCATAACAAAACGTTTGCATAATGGCAATAAAAATAGTAAGAAGTATTTATGACTGTGCTTACCTGATTTGGTTTAGAATTTAACTGTAAAGCTTTGTGTTCCGATCTGGGTTTTATGGTCTCCCTGGGTGACATCGCCAGGTTCGTTGCCTCCATTCTAAGATATAATAAATATTATTAATTTATTCTTTCAAATTAAACAAATTTAAAAAAAAAATTACAAAAGTAAAATAAATGTTCAAATTAAAACAGGTGTGATGAAAGAGTCATTGAATATTTTGGTGTCCTCAATACATTTTATTTTTTAGCTCAATTTGTTTTAGCGTGATTTGTAAATAATTTCCAGTAATAAATAATTAAAAAATCAATTAAATGAGGTTTTTTATGTACTAGTTTTCCGTCTGACACTAATTAATAAGAAAAAACTATATCATTATTGTAAAACTAATATAATGCTAAAACTAAATTACCCTATAAAATGTAATATTTTGCGAAAACCGCACACAAGCTATTTGGTTAATTCCAAAATGCGCTCCGTTTGTCAATCAAATTAGACTCAATAAAATTAATCATGAATTGCACGTAGTATTTTATTTATTAGAAAGGCCATATTACAACAAAAGAAGACATTAATACCATTAAAATAGCCACATTTACTTTTGCCGCTCAATAAAGCTGCACAGTGATTCGGGCGTCGAACGAATTGGGACAAAAGTGATCATTTTGTATACAAATAGGCAGTTTGCGTGCGAATTTACTGTATCGAATATCAATTGGGTATATTGGGTGGGGTGAAGGGAGCCAATGTACGTAACACGGTTATACCGCCCCACTCTGAGAACTTTTAAAGAATAGACATCGACTTTTTATTTATAAAATGCTTTAATCATTGTTGATATGAAAGCTTTATACAATTTTAATGACCTGCAAAGGCATAGCAACACAAGAATAATAACTACTTGAAAATACACTAATTTAATATTATGTCTATTTCAAAACAGTAATTTCGCTCATAAAAAATATTAATCCCTAAGGGTACTTGCACCAAATTTTGGACAGTAAATTTATGACTATTATGCATAATGTATTGATTTTATGAACATATATTTTCCAAATACCTATAAGGTAAAGTACCATAATTTTATATGAGTAATGTACGTATAAAATATGAACAAAAAATTACAATCTCTACGAAAAAACGGTTCGATGTGATTATTTATATTAAACAATATTATTACTAATATAGATATATTCAATCCAGACACCAGGTAAAATCCTATTAGCGAAATTTCTACATACGAGGCCTTGTTTCGAGAAATGCTAAAAAGTAAACAGTAATTAACATATTCTTTCCCCTCAATTTACAGTTAGGTCAAAAGTTTACCACAAATATAATCTTCTTTAAAACTGTTGTCTAAGTGGTCATAATATTGACTATGGGAGGAGAATTGTAAAAAAAGTAAATCAGTGCAATAAACATTTCAGCGTAACAAAATGACATTTCAAGTCCCCCAGTCATTCAAATGTAACAAAAACATGTCGTCACTCTCTCGATGATAGATCATCGCTTTAAACAAACCAGTGGCCTTAATGTCAAAAATCAACATAGGGTTGCCGCCTAGCGGGTAGGTCATTATAGGGTGAGATTAGTAAATTTGTGTCACCCCTAAATCGCGCCCGCCAAAATAATTGATTAACTAAACGACACCATTTTATTGTTACTACATATGCTGCTTTTTGTTAGGGGTGGCATTTCTGTTTTTGATTACTATGGTGATTTGATAATATTATTTGCCTAATAGCATATCATTCTGAACAAAAATTGTTGTCGTTATTGGTAGATATTATTGTTTCGGGCGTGTTTGGTAATCAGTGTAACAGTGTTTTTTTTTTATATTTTAAACACATTCGGGAGAAATTTTTTGGGTGTTGTTGTAATTTACTTCCGTAAAGGTGAGCTCAACTATCAGATGTGGGATGGGTTAACAATCTTTGGTGCATCTTAAGCCCATCTATGCTTCTTGGGAAGATCGTGCGCAGAAAATATTTGCATAATAAATATTTTTTCATGGTTTTATCACTATCATGTATTCATTCTTCATGTTATTTATGAATATAATTTATTAGTTATATTAAATTGTACTACATTTTCAATTTAATAATTAAATGGCTTGAAATGAATTACTAAAGAAAATTTTACTTAGAAAATCATTAGATATCAATAAATTACATAGAAAATTCACAGACGGCAATATAATCTTGGATGATTTTAATTGGCCTCCCAAATTTTAAAAATATTTTTTCATGTAGAAATAAGTTGTGATTGTCTTTATAATAAATAAATAAATAACAAAAGGATCTTCTAAGAGTTCATCAAAACCTCATGCGCTGAAAAAAAACTGGTTGGCAACTTATCATATTAGAAATTTCACGGCACAGTAGTCTAGTACGCTCTTTTTATGCGAACAAAAAGTTTACAAAAGATTCACTTGTAATTATAAATCCCTTATTGGGCCATATGGTGTTGATATCTGCACTAGACTCCCGGGGGCCCGCGGGATGAGCACATGTGCCACTTGTCTCGGAACTAATCGTTTTGGGGAAGCTGTATAGCACACTGCCAATTATATTAGCAGTCTAGTAGGAAAGTAAAAGATTCAGATTTTCAATTGTTTTAAAACAGTATTATTTGAAACTTTCGAGTGTTAGATTTTTAAATTACTATTTTCAATTAAAGGATACATTCATGAACTATTAAGTTTTAAAATGCAAGTTTTTGTTTTGAGTAAGTGTCGTACCTAGCCGTATGTCGCGTTAGTGCCCAATACTATTATCAGTACCTGTGCGGGACGCCGGGCTGTCACAGTAGCGGACAGTTACCGACTCGTACTTGGTGGGTGGAGGAAATTACACGCAGGAGTCTTGACGGAGCGTCGTGGCGATCGATTAGGCAAATTCTTATAAGATTATTGGTGAGAAAGAGACAGAATATCGCTTTGAACTATCAATTTTACAGTCAGTTACTATGGGCAAAGTTATCTATTATTACGATATTGAACTCATTCTAATAAAACAACAAGGAAATAACATTTTTAATGTACACATCCGTTACATGTGAAATTATAGACATATTTTATAAATCAATCTTGTTTCGATGTAAACTTTATTTCTTCTCGCTTCGGTCGTCGCGTACAGTACCTTTAGTACGAGTTTCAGCTCACGGAAACTATCATAGTTTTCGTAATCGTAAATTATGTTTCTATGGCCATTTTGGTGAAAAATAACCAAATATACTTTAAATTTGAGAAGACGCAAATAATTTAATGATATAATTTAAATACTGTTTATTTGTATTGAAACAAAAACAATAAAATCAGTACTCTTAGTACGAGTGCCAGCTCACGAAAACTGTCATAGTTTTCGTCATTGTAAAACTCGTACTAACGGTACAGGTACCCTATTTCTCTTGCGATTTGTGCTTTGTGATTGTTTGTAATGGGTGACCAACAAATGAACCCTCTCTTCCTTATTAATAAACGAAGACTACGCTTTGATTAGTTACTCCATGTTTTGTCTCTGTCTATTGAATGACAAATGGCATTTGAGTGACATGAACAAAACACGGCGTAACTAGTCTAAGCTTATTCCCTGTTTATTAATACGGGGTATGGGTATTGCCTGTGAGCCGAGTACCCGACACACATTTGGCCGGTGTTTTTCTCATGTTAAAATACTTTTTCAAGTCGCACTCGAAAACGTCGATTAATTTAAATGTATATCAAAGTAACTTTTGCAGTCTCGTTTCCAATGAAACCAAGAGTGAATACATGATCTTTAAGGTCTCAGGCAAATGACCGGGTGTCACCTCTCCTACCACCTTGAATGGACCACCACTAAAACTTGTTTTTTAATTTAAGTATATTTCTCATATCATTGCCGACGACCTAGACAAAGATAGAGAGTTGTGGCCCATGGGCATGTTGGTCCGTAGATTCGCTCGTTGTTCGGATCAGGTCAAAATAACCTTATTTAAAGCGTCTTGTCAGTGTTTGTTTGAGGGAAGTCTGTGGTTCCGATATACAAAAAAAATGTTGAACACTCTACGCGTGCAGTACAGCAATATTTTCAAGATGATGTTGGGACTGCTCCGGTTCTGCAGTGCCTCCGGAGTGTTTGCAAAAGCTCAAACTGACGGTTTTCATGCCGTCTTGTGGAATCAAATAACCTTATTCAAGGCGCATTGTCAGGGTATGACCGCGGGAAAGCACGCGTAGCAGTACAATAATATTTTCAGGATTATGTTGGGAATGCCCCGCTTCTGCTGTGCATTTGTGATTTTTGCACAAGCTCAAACTGACAGTTTTCATGCCGTCTTGCGGAATCAAATAACCTTATTGAAAGCGCATTGTCAGGGTATGACCGCGGGAAATGTGTGGTTCCGATATATGTACAAAAAAATCGATGAACACTCTACGCGTGCAGTACAATAATATTTTCAGGATTATGTTGGGACCGCCGCTTCTGCAGTGCCTCCGGAATGTTTGCAAAAGCTGAAAAGGTTTTCATGCCGTCTTGTGGAATCAAATAACCTTATGAAAAAGCGTATTGTCAATGTATGTACGAGGGAAGTTTGTGGTTCCGATATACAAAAAAATCGATGAACACTAGAGTGTTGTTGAACACGCGTAGACGCGTGCAGTACAATAATAGTTTCAGGATGATGTTGGGACTGCCCCGCTTCTGCAGTGCTTCCGGATAGTTTGTGGAACTGACGGTTTTTATGCCGTCTTGAGGAATCAAATAACTTTTTTAAAGCGCATTGTCAGGGTATGACCACGGGAAATCTGTGGTTCCGATATATGTACAAAAAAATCGATGAACACTCTACGCGTGCAGTACAATAATATTTTCAGGATTATGTTGAGACTGCCCCACTTCTGCTGTGCATTTGGAATGTTTGCAAAAGCTCAAACTGACGGTTTTCATGCCGCCTTGCGGAATCAAATAACCCTTTTTAAAGCGTATTGTCAGGATATGTACGCGGGAAGTTTGTGGTTCCGATACAAAAAAAAACCATGAACACTCTACGCGTGCAGTATAATAATGTTTTCAGGATGATATTGGGACTGCTCCGCTTCTGCAGTGCCTCCGGAATG